TGGGGAACAGAACAGGCAGATTGACTGAAATACACTGCTGAGGGGAGCAGCGGGTGCGACAGGAGAGGTCTGCTGCACCATGTGGGTATCTCCCTGGCCAGTGGGGATCGAACCGGCACTGCAGAGGCTGCAGACAGCTTCACTGTGCTGCGCTCAACCACCTGCACCACCAGGGAGGCAGGCCTTTTACTACGCTTTTGAGAAATGTTTACTGAATGAAAGAATGAATATCTGTTCAATGCTTTAGATAAGAAGACAAGAGACTACTACTCTTTCTAACGCTAAATTAAACTGCTATATGCAAACTAATTTGATTGTGTCCTTCCTCCACAGGCTGGTATGCAAAATAATATTGAAATGATTGATCTGGCCTCAACTATGGCCACCAGGAATATCATGTCACACTTGTTATTTCTGGCTTCCAGAGTAAGGATATATCACCCATATTACATATGGCTAGAGTGTTTCCATGATAAAATAGCCTAGCATACATAGTCCTAAAAAAAAAAAAAATCTGGGCTCACCATAAAAAAATTCAACTTTTTTAAAGGACTGTTTCAATTTCTCAGGAGAGCAAGAAATAGCCAGAATATGTCTGAAATTAAGACACCATTCTAAAAATTTCATTTAAAAAATCTTCTAGGGCATCCCTGGTGGAGCAGGCATTAAAGACAGTGCTATCGAGCAATTGGCAGCCACTGCAGGACAAGTTCGAGTTTGATTCCCGATTCCTGGCTGGCCAGGGAGCTACCCACATGGTGCAGCAGACCTCTCCTGTCTTGCCCGCTGCTCCCCTCAGCAGTGTATCTCAGTAGATCCTCCTGTTCTACTCCCCACTCTCTCTGGTGAATCCTCTTACCTTCCCCCACACACCTCTGGCCTGTACCCCAGTTCTTGTACTCATAAATAAATCTTTAAAAAAATAAAATAAAAATTATTCCAATTAAAAAAACATATCAAGGCCCCCTCCTAAGATATCAAGGCCTAAGAGCCTCGGCCATTCAGCTCACAATCCAGCCCAGAAATAAAGCTTGAGGACAGTACAAATCTGTCACAAAGTCCACAGGCTTAATACCAGGGCAATAACCCACATAATTTCAGAGGGAAAAAAAAAAGACAAGAGATAATATAGCAGCAGGGCCCGCTTACAGCCTGACGGTAGGAGAAAGTGATAGCTGATAACAGACAGAAGACCCTGAAAAAACATAGGAAGAAGAATGGCACTTCTGTCCCCAGTCTAGTATTTCACCCGGCCAGGCTGAGACCATTTATTATGAACAAGAACAGCCCTACATACCTCAAGGAATGGCACCATTCAATTCTTTATGGATTCGTGTTCATAAAGACAAATCCACCCCCACAAATGATTTATATCCAGAGGATTCAGTAAAAGTGTAAGATTTATAAGTTGCTTCTTTCAGTGGCTATTTTTTTTTTAATTTCAGTAATTACATGTAGATGGTGTCAAATACATGCGATATCACGTAGTTTATAAACAATCAGAATGTCTTACACTCCTGATGCATTCCTCGGAAACCCAGTATAACTTAAACATTAGCATCAAATCAAGATTATGTGATATTTCAGATATATGAGTATTTTGAAAAGGCATTTGAAGACTGAGGGCATGGTTATTTCCTTCTATTGTCAGCAATAAGTAAATGGTAGTTACGTTACTTAACAAGGTACCATAAAATATTTTTAGTGATTTAAATTAAACATGAACTATCAGACCCTTTACACACACACACACAAAAAAAAAAAGTGACCAAAAAAATAAGTTTTGCTTATTTTTACTCCATTGGTTTACTTATTCTAATATGTGCACTGGGCTTTAATATAAAAAGGGTGGAGCTATGCAAATTTAGATTATAACAAGTTCAGCTCTCTACAACAGTATTATCCAAAAAAACTCGGTACAGTTTCTGCCCCGCTATGACCAAGCGTCTAACACACCACCAAATTTCTATGAAATGTCAGGGCACTAGGCTTTCCCCTAGTTTTTAAACACTGCCAAACACCAGGTCCCACAACACTAGAGGTCACCTTTACTTTGTGTGTGTCACACAAAATCAAGTAACGCTTGAAATTTTTAGAAGCGTGACACACAGATACATTCCTAAAACAAAATCCTAAACTAACAGGAGAGAGTTCCTACAGGAGAAAACTTAAGTCTGTTTTCCTGTGTAAGAAGAAAAACCACAGGGGCATTTACCATTTCATTCAATTAACACGGGCCTCCCTGGTGGCACAAGAGGTTAAGACACAACCTATGAAGCTAACCACAGCCACTGCAGCACAAGTTCGATCCCCGGCCAGGGAGATACCCACACGGCGCGGCAGACCTCTCCTGTCTCGCCCGCTGCTCCCCTCAGCAGTGTATTTTGTCAGTCTGCTTGTTCTGCTCCCCACTCTGTCTCTGGTGAATCCTCTTACTCCCAGCATGTCTAGCCTGTACCCCAGTTCTTGTATGTATAAATAAATAAATCTTTAATTCAATTAACACAGTTACTACATAATATGACTACTATATATATAATTATATATATCTATATGCATTTCTATTTATACAAATACATATTTCTGTATTATATATTTACTTCTATTTATAATTCTATATGATTACCCACATAAAAAAAAGCACTTCTATCCTTCCTTCAGACGGGAGATAGACGTCTTCTGGGGTTAATGGGACTAAAACACACCCATCCAGAGCGGAATTTAAAAAACACACAAACATGAAGTGATATAGACACCTCAGCACCCCCGGCACCCACCCAAACTGCCACACCTTCGCGTGATTAATCTGGAAAGATCTATTACACAAGGTGACAGCTCAGGGGACCAAAATTTTCTAGGGCTGTGGCTTTTCCACCTCAGTGTGGGGACCCTACAGAAATCAAGGCTCTCTCAGTCACTAACCCTGGCTCCTCCTGGAGGTGACTGTGGGGTTCCCCTGGTCTGGAAGGGCCCCCCACCCAGTCCCCTCTGCGGGGCCCTCTCAGCCAGGACGGGCACAGTTAACCCGCCGGCTTTCCCTGCAGCCTGCGGGGCCTTCCGAAGTTCCTCACCATCTCCCCGCCCGCGCCCCCCATGCTTTCAGATTACGGGAGCCGGTGTTACAGGTCCAGCGGGGGCCCTTTCTCAGAGGAAGTGCCGCGGAGCCCCGGGGTGCCGCACTGGAGTTGGCAAACGCTCAAGCAAACCAGCGAATTCACACAAATTCACCCAGATAGAGCGCCCTCGCCACCTCCAACTGTCCCGTCCCCGCCGCCCCGCACACACTTGCGCCCCGGCGCGGCCGGCCCCCCACACGCCCGCGCCGCGCCCGCGGGAAGCGCCCTCGTCCCGGCAGCGCGCCCTCCCCAAGCCCCCGCGCGCCTCCCCAAAGCCGGGCTCCCCACCGCGCGCGCGCGCCCCTCACCCCAGCGCACCCCGGGGCGGCGCGGGCAGGTGGGGTCCTGCGCGTAGAGAGGTCCCGGGGCGCTCCCCACCCCCAACGCGCCCAGCTCGCGCGGTCCCTCAGGGAGAGGACGCGGCGGGGGACACATGGAGGGGTCCCGACGCGGCGCCCCGGGGCTGGCTCCGACCTGGGGGCCCCGCGGCGCCCATCCTTCCGCGGTCGGGGGCGAGGTCCTCGGCGCCCCGCGCGCCTCCTCCGCCCGCCCCGCCGCCGCGGGCCCCTCACGCGGGCGCCATATGGGAGGCAAAGGCGCGCGGGCGCGGGCGATCGCGGCGGCCCGAAAGCTCCCCTCACACCCCCGCGGCCCCGAGCTCTCTCCCTACCCCCCTCACCCCCCAACTTCCTCAGCCCGGCCCCGGCCGCGCGTCCCGCTCCGGCCTCCCGCCCCGGGAGCGCCGCCATTCGCGCGCACGCACCTCGGGGCGCCCACAACGCCCCCCTCCGCCCCCGCCCCCCGCCCCCACCCCCCGCGCCGCGCCTCACCTCGGCTCCGGGCCGCGGCGCGAGGGCGAGTGTCCCCGCCGCGCAGCCGTATCCGGGGACCGCGGGCCGGGGAGGCGCCGGCTCAGGTGCCGCCGCCTGCGGAGCTTCGGGGGCGCGGGAGGCTGCGGAGTCGCGCGGGAGCTCAGGACGGGCTCGGGGCGCGCACCGGAGGGCCCGGCTTTAACCGTGCCCCCCTCGGCCCGCAGCGCGCCTGCTCCTCCGCGGCTCCCCGCGGGCGCCGGGCCCCCCAGCCGCGCCCCGCCCCGCCCCGCGCGCCAAGAGCGCGGCCCTTGCCTCCCGCGCCCGGCTCCGGGCTCGACGCGGGGCGCCCCGCGCTCAGGCGCGCCTCCCCGGCCGCGGTGGGGGCTGCGCCCGCCCGGCCCCTGGGGTGGGGTGCGCCCGGGGCGGGGGTGCCTCCTGCGGCGGGGTGCCCCCTGGGGCGGGGGTGCCGCCTGGGGCGCGCGCTCGCGGGCTGAGCCGGGGCCGCGTCCGGGACCCGCGAGCGCCCGGGTGGCTCTCGAGCGTCCCGCGGGGCCCGAGGAGAAAGCCTGGGGCGCCCGGGCCCCGCCCCCTGCGCCCCGCCAGCGCCCGCTCCGCCGCCCCGGCCCCGCCGTCCCCCCTCAGGCTCGCGCGCCCCCCCTGCCCAGCCTGCCCGACCTCCGGCGGCGCCGCCGTCCCGGGCCGCGGGAAAGTGGAGTTGCTCGGGGACCAGGACGGGGCGCAGACCTCGAGGCTCGCCACCTGCCGCGGGGCGCAGAGAGCGCTGCTCGCGCGCGCTCGGGGAAGCCGGGAAAAGTCACGGGGCGGCCGCGCGCGGGGCCATCCCGCCTCCCCGCCGGCGCTGAAAGGGCCGTTTATGCTCGGCCGGTGGCGTCTGTGGCCACTTGATCCCGACGGGGCCGCGTTTGCCAGCGGCCGAGCCTGGCCAAGCCCGGGGACGCGCGCCTCGGCTCCCCACGCGCGCGGGGCGGCCTCCCTGCGGGGCGACCCCGGAGAGCCCCTGGGGACCCCGCCGTGGGAGCGCGCGCCTCAGTTTCCAATAAACGCGCACGACCTGAGTGGATTTGTTTCCGCTGCAGTTTTCGGAAGAGAAAAGTCGAGTCGGGCATCAACTCCAGAGGCTGAGGTGCCGCTGCCGCCCTGGAGCGTTTTACGGGTAGACGCGGGAAAAGAAAAATTGCCAAGTCAGCCGTTCTCGCCTCCCTCCAAACCCGTTTTCCAAAATAGGTTGGAACTTTTTGCCCTTAAGGGAGAGGAAATTATGGTTCTCTGTCTAATAAATGCGGGGTCTGACGTACCTAATATTTAAGAATATTCAGCCAAGAAAGAGACTTTCAAATGCCAATTAAAAAAAAAAAAAACCCAAAAACTTTTTCATTTTTCATTTTCATCTTCACAGATTACACAATTGAAATACTGTGAAAAACTGGGCCTCCCTGGTGGCGGCAGCGCAAGGGGTTCAGCACCACACTACTAAGCAATCCGCAGCCTCTGCAGCCACGAGTTCGATCCCCAGCCAGCCAGGGAGCTACCCACATGGCACAGCAGACCTCTCCTGACTCGCCTGCTGCTCTCCTCAGCAGTGTATTTCACTCAGTCTGCCTGTTCTACTCCCCACTCTGGCTCTGGTGAATCCTCTCACCCCCCGCATCTCTGGCCTGTACCCCAGCTCTTGTATGCATTAATAAATCTTTAAAAAAGAAAAAAAAATACTGTGAAAAACAAGGAGTGTTTTGCCAACCTTGTACCTGATCTAAGGAGTTTACCGTTCTTCATATTTATTTGGTATTCAGATTGCACTGCAAAAACATAAAAATACTCATTAAACATAAGTAATCATCCAAACTGAGCGACTTTACTTCAAAAACTCTTTTCTCAAGTGTCATACTTTAGTTGCAAGCTATAGTTTTCATAATGGACATGTAAATTGTTGGTTTTAAAAAAGACTAGAAACAAAGCAAAAACTTTGTTTTATGAAAATCTAAAATTTCTGACACATCCCTTTGCTTAATGAAACCATTTAAACTGATCATCATACAAGATTTGTATGATGCTTTGTATGGAAAAGGCAACACTATATTATGTGTGAACATGCCCATGTTTATTATTTCTGTGGCCTTGTCTTCCAAGGTGTTTGTAATGATCACTGAATTTTTCGCACACAGAGGACATGCCATGCCCTAAAATACCGCAATCATTGTGTGAACATGTGAATTGCATTTTTGGAGTCTGAAATTAGAAAAGAAGTGGGTGAGGTTCTCTCCGTCTTGGTTTTTCTTTTTTTTTAATCTACCTACCATCATTTAGCACTTAGTATTATTGACTTAATAACTGGATAAGATAAAGCATGTGCTACTTCCCTTTAAGAGAGAATGTGCATTTATCATATTTCAGCCATCTTCCATGCTCTCATCCAGCTTCACAGAGATTGTCCATCATCTTTGATTTATAGAATGTTGAACTGAACAACATAGTAAGGATGTTCTAGCCACTGGGAAAATATATTTCGAAATATTACAATTTCTTCCTTACTTTTGTAGACCACATGTATCACTGTACGCAACCATTATTTCTTTCTGTTTCATGCTTGTTAAGATTCTTTAGCCAGTTAGGCCCATTTGATTTTTCTGGAAAATAAACAATAACTTGTGAGAGACGCCAGCTCAGCCTGGTAGATATTAACCAGGAACAAGACTGCCTAGAGATGAACTTGAAGTAGTTATAAGTGTACCGTTCTGTATCATTTGTAGTGCAGATTGTATAATGTAGAACACAGCAAAATGGATTTAAGTGCAGCCATGTCAACAAATATGAGTGGCTGTGCTTTCCAACATATTTTTGCTATCAGTGCCAAATATTTAGATATATTGCAAGGGGATATCTTATGACTAAAAGCATGAGACTTTACATATCAAGTCTTAGAGCTCAGCTAAGTTCCCTTGAGGTGGGACTGTGCTTTGGAGCTCTGAGAAGCACAGGGTCTGAATGTACACAGAGATTAATTAGGTCTCTGCTCTCCATAAGGATGATGATTATCATAGCTTTTGAGTCTCAATATGTATTCCGGGCATACTGATAAATAGTTCACAATATGAGGATTAATCACTTAATCCCTCTTTAAGGTAGAGCAGCAGAAAGTGGCAGGTAAAATTTATTCAAAATCACAGCTAGAAAGTGGCAAAACTGGAAATTGAATTGAAGTCTGTTAGAGTCAAAGATCATGGCTTGAAAGGCTAGGACCGTTCAGACTGGATCTGATAGTCAGTGTAAATCTTGGTCACAGAAAAAAAATTGACTTACATAAATGCAACCTGGCCTTTGGGGAAGTTCTCCAAATTCAAGAGGCGTGTAACAAACTCAGTCTGCCTTCTTCATTTATCACTGAACAGCTGCTTTATGAAGCAAGTCATAATACAAAGTCTTGGGACTAAGGAGTTTGTAGCAAGCCGACCCAGGGTGCCTCCAGGAATCTCCTCTACTGGCTTTGGTGCTCTTCATAATCTCTTCTGTGTGACTTGCCTGCAGCCACTAGAATATGGCAAAGGTGAAGAGACTTTTCAGATGTAATTGAGACCCCAAATCTGGTGATGCTAGTTATTCTGGATGCATATGATTTTCAGAATATCGGGTGCAAGACTGCAAGTTAGGTGAAATAGGCCGTCTCTAAGAGAAAGACTCTTGCAGTCTTGGTGAAATAATTAGGCACATTCGAAGTCCTCATGGTAAAGAACTCCAGACAACTTTGGAGCTAAGAGTAACTTCCCACCAACAGCCACCAAGAATTTGGGGTCCTCAGTTACAGAACTGCAGGGAAATAAGCTCTACCAAACATCTGATTGAACTTAAAAGTGTGTCCTCAGGTAAAAAAGGTGACCTCGCCAATACCTGATTGGAGTCTTGAGAAACCCTGGGTGCAGGACCAATCTAATGTATCCCCCAGACTCCTCACCCACAAACTGAGCAATCATAAATGTGTCTTGTTTTCATCTACTGAGTTCATAGCAAGGTGTTGCACACACAGCAACAGAGAACCAATCCAGCTCATAGAGGAAGAGAAGGCCAGGCTCACTCCTTGAAGCAAAGGGCTATGATCTGGCTACCAGGAAAATGTGGCCATGAGAGGTGTGAAGACTCAAAACTAGGAATCAAGGAACTCCCTGGTGGCCTAGGGGTAAAGTGTCATAGTGTCAGCCCTATCGCCACTACTGCCTGAGTTCTATCCCCAACAGGGAACCAAACTACATATGGCGCAGCAGACCTCTCCAATCTCACCCGCTGCGCTCCTTAACTGTGTTTCAGTAGATCTACTGTTCTGCTCCCCACTCTGTCTCTGGTGAATCCTCTCACCCCCCCCCACCCCTGCACCTTTGACCTACACCCCAGCTCTTGTATGCATAAATAAATAAATCATTTTAAAAATGTAAGAAAATCAGAATAAAGTATGGACGTTAATAATCACGGAGTAATTTTGATTCATTCATTCTAACAAATGTACCATATTAAGAGGCGATAGGTGTGGGATATACGGGACTTCACTGTACTTTCTGTGCAAGTTTTCTACAAAATTTTAAAAATTATTAAAAATAAAATCTTGCAATTAAATTTTATCAGAATTCAGAACTAATTATTTTATCAGGTCACGTTACAGATGAGAAAACTGAGGCACTTTGATTATAATTTCAAGAGATAAAAGATACAAAATTATGATTGTTGTAAAAAGCTTTCTTTGAAATGTCTTTGAATTAACTCTCAATTAGATTATATAGTTATAACTGAACAATAACATGTATAATAATTGTTAAGTAATTTAATAATTGCTGTTTAATTGATTAATTATAAGAATTATAATTCTTATTTTAGAAATCCTTAAAATAACTGAGAAATGGAGTGGATTGCAAAGTCAACACCTGCCATTAATATCAAATAGAATTAAAGTTGCAAAACTATTTTTTCTGCAACATGCAAGCACTCATACAGTGCGCATAAAGTAACAAGAATCATACAATCTTAAAAGAATAAGAGATTCTTGATTGCTTCCTCATCTCTCTCCTTTAGTTCCTTGCTCCCTTTTAACAATACTACTTTTCTTCACACACACTTTCCGTTAGTTCCTTAGAAGAGAACAACCTTCTAGAAAGATTTGCAGGCCTTTATCATCATACTGAGATGAAAGAACTGATAATTATTTGTTCTTTCTTCTAAAATGCTTCCCTTTATGTTAAGCCACCTCACTGAGGCAGCTATCTCTAGTAAAAGGAGCCTTGGAATGTCAATCTGGTACTGCCTTTTACTACCAATGCCTCAGTTTTCCAACTTGCAAAATGGCACTGGAACCCCTCCTTTACAAAGTATAAAGATAAAATAAGGTAATATGTAAGAGGAGTCTCCAAAGTCTCTGGCATTTTATAGGTATGTCACCAAATGTCATTTCTGAGAATACTTCCCACTTCCTAAGGAAATCCACATACTCCATGGGGAAAATAATGTATTCACTTCTCATTTATCATCAGTATTTGATTCACTTTTTTCGAGACTAAGCCATGACATAGTTAAGTTGGATAAAGCAGACTCTAGATTAACAGAAGCTGGTATTGGTCTGATAGGTGTTGCAGAATTTGTAAATGTTATTCTTCTTCGATATAATATATTACAGTGAAACTAAAGTAAATTACTGCACTACTACCTTCCCTTCCAACTGACTTTTATTCCTGGGAAAGTTCCCTTATAGGTATTCCCGCAGACTGATGCCAGAGTAGAATGAAAGAAAAACAAAATGCTCCATGACCACAATTAACTAATTCATAGCATCGTTACCCAACTGTACTAACATTAAATTCTGGAAATTCCCATTGTAGTGAGCTGGCCTTCTGAAACATTTGAAACATTCCCACATTTCCCTCCAATGCTATTTCAAGCTTTGTGTTTTATAGCCCAGAACTTCAAGCTAAGGTACTTTCATGTTTTTTAAACTGATGATTGCTAGTTAAACATTTACCATCTAGCCTCCATGGTGTGTTATAGAGTGCCAAGCTCTTGGAACCCCACACCACCTGATTTTCACATCACGTTGCAAGAGAGATCATAGTGAGGAAGCCCTGAAGTTTTCACAAACATACTAAATACCAAATATCAACTATATTCATTC